AACTAGGCTTTAGGCAATTTCTACTAACAGTCCTACAGGGAACGTAGTAGGGAGGTTCTACAATCCCCAATAAGGGCACATCATCCTCTTGTACTCGCAGTCCTTAAGCGGGAATCGAAAAAGGACTACTGTAAATTCCTATAAAGGGCTGTTAGTATAAGGGTGAGTAATTCCTAGTAAGGGCTGTTAGTATAAGGGTGAGTAATTCCTATTAAGGGCTGTTAGTATAAGGGTGAGTAATTCCTATTTTAAGGGCTGTTAGTATAAGGGTGAGTAATTCCTATTTTAAGGGCTGTTAGTATAAGGGTGAGTAATTCCCATTAAGGGCTGTTAGTATAAGGGTGAGTAATTCCTATTAAGGGCTGTTAGTATAAGGGTGAGTAATTCCTATTAAGGGCTGTGAGTATAAGGGTGAACATCCCAAGGCATGAACCCCCAAGCAGCCACTGGCAGGAAAACTGCGCTTGTGTACTACGCAATCCACAAACAACCCCTAAACCCTAAACCCTAAACACTAAACACTAAACCCTAAACCCTAAACCCTAAATCCTAAACCCTAAACCCTAAACCCTAAACCCTAAACCCTAAACCCTAAATCCTAAACCCTAAACCCTAAACCCTAAGCACACACTCTCTCCCTCACTCTCTCTCTCTCTCTCTCTCTCCTCTCTCTCTCGCTCCCCAACCCCCACTCGCAAGGAGATCCCTCATGCGCCTCACAGGAGCGAGACCCGCGGCTGCGGCTGGCAGGCATGCTTCTACGGCAAGCCTGCGGCAGGGTTTAGGTTGAAGGGTTCAGGGTTTAGGGATTAGGGTGCAGGATCTAGGGTTTAGGGTTTAGGGTGAGGGTTTAGGGCTTAGGGCTTACGTTTCAGAATCTCAAGTCCAAGCAGTAGCATGTCAAGCGTTGGAAACATACCCACCCGCCCAAAGAATCCTACAACACGGAGAAATAGAAAGTTCACTCAAGCCATGAGCTCCTAGGGACGCACGCAACAACAACACCTTACCATTTGAAAAAAAACGCTGTGCTACAGGGTGGGGCCCCCTAGTTATAAGTAGAGTTATAAGTTATAAGGGCCCTAAATTGGGTCATAAGGACCCTAAATTATAGGTTATAAGTCCCTTAACTACAGTTAGTATAGTAAGGGGGCCCCACCCTGTAGTCCCCTAAAGAACGGGGGGCCCGAAAACACCGGAACCCCGATTGCTCAAGATCTGAAAAACACCGGGGGCCCAAGGCCCGATTGTTCAAAATCTGAAAAAAAAGGCGAGAGCTGGGGCCGATTGTAAACTGCAAGTGTGAACCCTAAACCCTAAACCCTAAACCCTAAACCCTAAACCCTAAACCCTAAAACCCTAAACCCTAAACCCTAAACCCTAAAGCCTGAACCCTAATATTCAAAACCCTAAGCCCTGAACCCACAAATGGGGGGGCGTGTGGTCCACATCCTAAGCCCTAAACCCTAAACCCTAAACCCTAAAATGGGGCCTGTGGTCCACATCCAGCTTCGGCGGCTGAAACGCTGGGGAGTGCGGACCCCAGTGGGGCTCGCGCACGAAGTCCTGCGCCACATTGGGGTTTAGGGTTTAGGGTTTAGGGTTTCGGGTTTAGGGCTTCAAAACCTAAAGGGTCTGAATTCTTTTGGGTTTGAATTGGAAATCTTTCCCTAAAGTGAGAGGGAAGAAAGAGGCAGGTCAGAAACCCTAAGCCCTAGACCTAAACCCTCAACCCTAGACTTAAAAAATGGCTCCAAGGGCACCGCGGTGGTTTGGTTTGACATGTTGGCTGGAGTTCAGGGTTCAGAAACCCTAAACCCTAAACCCTAAACCCTAAACCCTAAACCCTAAACCCTAAACCCTAAATGAGCCCTAACCTTCAGAGGGGCTTGAGGGACTTGCGGGAGTTCAGGGTTCAGGGAGAACCAGGGTTTAGGGAGTTCAGGAAGTTCAGGAAGTTGAGGAAGTTCGAGGAAGTTCACAAAGTTAAGGATAGTATGGTTTCAGCTCCATTGGGTTGAAATACCACACAATTCTAGTTCGTGCAGAAAATCTGGCAAAACTACTGTTGCCTTCACCAGCAGGCCTCAGAAGGCCCCCCGTGCACGGTGAGGCCTTGTACAGCCGTTAATTAAGGGATGCGCCTTAAGTCACATTAAGGATCCCTATACAAACATATGACTAAGGAATGTACCTTACATCAGATTAAGGATCCCTATACAAACATATACAATTAAGGAATGTAACTTACATCATATTGAAGTTCCCTGTAGAAGTTAAGGTCTATTCCTTAATGAAGGAGGTATTGGGCTTTCGGGGTAGCTCGCTGCTTTCACCAGAGACTTGGCTGCACTCAGGAGGGTAGCAAAAAGTCAAACTTTTAGCTGCCTTAATAAGAAACCGAATAAACCCCAAAAAAGGTAAGGATCTAAAGTTACAGTAAAGTACCACAAAGAAAGAGTTCCATCCGAAGGAGACATGGAAGGAACCCCGAAGGCTCCGAGGAACCCATCTCGTATGTACTTGGGGCTTCACGGGCTTCCACCCTAAACCCTAAACCCTAAACCCTAAACTTATGACTTGCCCGAGCACACTAATGGTCAGCACAAACACACCCACAAAATAAAGCACCCGTGAGATTGGACATTTCTGAGTGCCTCATGATCATACCTGAAGGCCTGATGTATGAGTGTGATGAAGTTTTCCGGTGCTCTTGTTTGTGCTCAAGATTGTGCTTTCTCCGGTGCTATTTTTTGTGCTCATGATTGTGCTTTCTCCGGTGCTATTTTTTGTGCTCATGATTGTGCTTTCTCCGGTGCTTTTTTTGTGCTCATGATTGTGCTTTCTCCGGTGCTTTTTTTGTGCTCACGATTGTGCTTTCTCCGGTGCTATTTTTTGTGCTCATGATTGTGCTTTCTCCGGTGCTTTTTTTGTGCTCATGATTGTGCTTTCTCCGGTGCTTTTTTTGTGCTCACGATTGTGCTTTCTCCGGTGCTATTTTTTGTGCTCATGATTGTGCTTTCTCCGGTGCTATTTTTTGTGCTCATTGTGCTTTCTCCGGTGCTATTTTTTGTGCTCATGATTGTGCTTTCTCCGGTGCTATTTTTTGTGCTCATGATTGTGCTTTCTCCGGTGCTTTTTTTGTGCTCATGATTGTGCTTTCTCCGGTGCTTTTTTTGTGCTCACGATTGTGCTTTCTCCGGTGCTTTCTCCTTTCTCCGGTGCTATTTTTTGTGCTCATGATTGTGCTTTCTCCGGTGCTATTTTTTGTGCTCAGAACGAAGCAATGGCACCATCAACAAGCACCAGCAGGAGCACAGTGACTAGCACCAGAAAAGACCACAAACCAAGGCCCAAAGTGTGATCTCGTCTGCTGAGCCAGGTCCAAACTCGATCAGACTTTCTGGTGCTGGAATTTTGCGCTATGTTTAGTACAAAACCCTTTATTTGACTGTTAGTGTGCCGAGGCAGATCCCAACCCTAAACCCTAAACCCTAAACCCTAAACCCTAAAACCCTAAACATTTAGGGCTCAAATATGTAACTACATGGGTACATGGAGCCGTAGAATAAGCGCCGCCGCTTGTGCGCCCTTGCCGAACACGCTGTCCAAGTAGGCAACCTAAATCCCAAACCCTGAATCCTGAACCCTGAACCCTGAACCCTAAACCCTAAACCCAATCCTGAGGAGGCGAATCGAAGAGCCGCTGCTCTGCGTGGCTGCCATGGACCTCTGGCGCCTCACGCAGCGTATAGGGTTTAGGGTTTAGGGTTTAGGGTTTAGGGTTTAGGGTTTAGGGTTTATAGGGTTTATAGGGTTTATAGGGTTTATAGGGTTTACAGGGTTTAGGGTTTAGGGTTTAGGGTTTGGGTTTAGGGTGTAGGGTTTAGGGTTTGGGGTTTAGGGTTCGGGTTTGAGGGTTTTAGGGTTTGGGGTTTAGGGTTTTAGGGTTTGGGGTTTGGGGCTTAGGGTCTGGGGTTTGGGGTTTAGGGTTTGGGGTTTAGGGTTTGGGGCTTAGGGCTTAAGATTTAGTGTTTCGGTTCAGGGGTTTAGGGCTTGGGGGGGGCCTCATTTCAAGCCGTAAGACGTTTGTGTTCTGGAGATTTTTTTGGGTTCAGGCACGGCAAGACAGCGGGGCCCAAACCATAAGCCCTTCCCCCCAAGCCCTATAGAGGCCTCAACCCCAAAACCGGTCCACGTGGATTCTCTACTGATTCACGGGACTGACCGATGGTTACAACCCTATGCTAAGTGGCCCTAACCGGCACATGGCTCTGGCTCTGACCGGCACTCAACAGGTTATCCCGGTAACAAAGCACCCCGGGACCCTAAACCCTAAACCCTAAAACCTAAACCCTAACCCTAAGCCTTGAACCTCTTGATGCCTCTTGGGCCTAAACAACGCGCAGCGACTCTTACGTCGGACGTGCTGCCGACAACTTCCTTAGGGGTTTCGGATGGAAGGTCTGTAGAACTAATCTCATCCATGGGGCTTAGGGTCTAGGGTTTAGGGTTTAGGATTTAAATCTAACTTAACAAAGCCTTGGCAGATTCACGAAAGCTTTTGTCCTGCGGCGGATCAGAGCACAATTACCCCGACACATTGGGTGCGCTGTGTGGCTACCAAGGCAAGATGTTGTCGGAGGCGACGTCAACAGCGCCCCGGAACTTCCCAAAGTCCCAAGTAAGAAATATCGCTTGAATTGGTTTAGGGTTTAGGGTTTAGGGACATTAATTCAGTGTACAGAGCGTTCTTGAATTGCAAGGACTATTGGAGCTTCTGGGGGGGTGGGGGGGGCACGCGTGTGGCGCAAACAACTCAACATCGCACTCTGTACAGGTAACAGCGCAATGAAATGGCCTAATTAAGCCCTAAACCCCAGAGCCTAAACCATGAACCCTACACCCTAAACCCTAAACCCTAAACCCTAAACCCGAAACCCTAAACCCTAAACCCTAAACCCTAAACCCTAAACCCCAAACCCTCATCTCCAGCCGCTTCAGGCAGCTTTTGCCCTGCGTCGCTGCCGTGCCTCCCTCCTGGTGTCCTCCTCAGCATGGTGCAGCCCCAAGTCCTTCCGTTTAGGGTTTAGGGTTTAGGGTTTAGGATTTGGGGTTTAGGGTTTAGGGTTTAGGGTTTAGGGTTTAGGGTTTAGGGTTTAGGGGTTAGGGTTTCGGGTTTCGGGTTTCGGGCTTAGGGTTTTAGGATGTAGGGTCCGCCGACCTTGGCGGCGTGTGGGATGCGCTTCGGAGGTGAAAACCTCCCTAAACTTGCTCCAGCTTTGTGGAAGCCCCCTCTAGCGCCCCCTGCCTGTGACCTAACCCCTAAACCCCTAAACCCCTAAACCCCTAAACCCCTAAGCCCCTAAGCCCCTAAGCCCCTAACCCCTAACCCCTCCCCCCCCCCCCGACCCTGCCTTGGGTTCATCGTCTAGTTTACTCGCGTTCGGACCGCTTTATCTCACTAGGGTTGGCCCCTGCTCGGGGGTCGGCGGCGGGAGCCGGAGGCTGCTAACATTTGGGGCTTCAGGACTTGGGAGTTTTAGGACTTAGGGTTTAGGAGGGTTTAGGGTTTAGGGTTTAGGGTTTAGGGTTTAGGGTTTAGGGTTTAGGGCCCCAAGGTCCTTCCGAATTGAGGCCACCATAACCTCGACCAACTCGAGCGCGGCTGGCTGTGTTTGCCCGTCATGTTGGTCGACCCAAAAGCAAGGCAGTAGCTGATCAGCTGCAAAGAATACCCATTCCTTCCAGTTCGGAGAGACATGTGTCTCATAGTTTTTCTTGCATGGGCGACAGGAATCTGTGGAAGTATTGGCGCGGTACTGACGTCCCGGCAAGCCTAAGCATATGAAGCAGCCGCCGTTCCTTTTTGCATAGTTGCGGGCGTAGCCAAAGTCGGGGGAGGTGTAAATCCCTTTTCCATAGATCCCTCCATCTGTCTGGTGAAAAACCTTTTTCTGGTCCGGCACACACAAGTTGCTGTCGACGATGCTTTGAAAATTCTTGGAAGGTGTCCAGTGATAGACAACTTTTGGAGGCTTGTCCGGTAGAAAGGACGCTTCCCGCACTGCCCGCTCGGCAAAGCAGACAGCCAGATCGAAATTTGCAATGCAGCTTTGGAGCAAATTCTTGTCTCTGGCTGCGGATCGCAGCTGTTCAACCCAGCGCGCAGCCATGGAGACGGGTGTGTGGTGGGCGGACAAATCTTGCGTCATCGCCTTGGCCCTAAACTCTAACCCCCAAAACCCTGAACCCTGAACCCTAAGCCCTAAACCCTAAACCCTAAACTCGACAAATCTTCCGCCATCGCCTTGGCTTCATGCTCTTGAACATGCGCGGCGTACTCGGTGGGTAGGAAGAGATCTCCGCAAACCTCACCTCAGCTCATGGGCTGCCAGTCTAGACCCTCGAGAAAAAAACCCTAAACCCTAGACCCTGAAACCCTCAGTAGCTGATATTTTGTTATTCTTATTTTCCTAAACCCTAAACCCTAAACCCTAAACCCCAAACCCTAAACCCTAAACCCTAAACCCATACATACACCCATATACATGAGGCTATCTATTTGCCAAACATCCCCTGAACCTGCGAAATTATCCGAAGGCATCCACCGATAACGAGGCAGTTTGCACTATACTCCCCTTAGAACCTTAATAATAATAATCATCATCATAAGAAGAATAATAATAATTTTAATATCCTCTTGGGTTGTGTATAAACAAAAATAAAAAAAAAAAAAAAGTAATTCCCAAGGGAAATATGGTACAGGGTATCAACGAGGCGGCGAGGTCTTTGCCCTCGGCTTCTGGGGCGCGACGCTGCTCATGGAGGCGCAAGTGTTCCATGAAGCCGCCTTTTTGACGAGGGGGGCTTTCCAAGCGGGGGCCGAGGAGGGTTTAGCGTTTGGGGTTTGGGGTTTGGGGTTAGGGGTTAGGGGTTTGGGGTTTAGGGTTTAGGGTTTGGGGGTTAGGGTTTCTTAGGGTTTAAAGGGTTTTAGGAAGGTGCACCCTTTCTTTTGAAGGCCTGGTATCTGAAATTGGAGCAAAATTGGCTCCTCTTGCAGCAACCTGAAAACCTTAAACCCTAGATAAACTTGCGGCTGAGATATCCAGGCTTCGGGGAGGTTCATGGGCAGGTATACTGGGGTGGGTTTGGGGCCATATAAAAACATGTTTCCATGGGAATAATTTTGGAATTTGGATTCTAATCTAAATAACCTTGGCATAACCCTCGGTTTGGTGGTCTACGGCGGAAGACATAACCTTACTTGTGGGGAGCTGCCCGGGAGAATGAAAGCAGTATATCCAAATTCGATCGCCCGCCAACCGGTTTTGTGGTTTTGGATTTGTTCCCTAAACCCTAAACCCTAAAGCCGGATTGGAGGGTTTGACGTTGAGGCTTAATCGTTTCAGGATTAGGGTGTAGGTTGTAGGGTTTAGGGCCTCCTAGGGTAGGTTGGGAAGCCTGTTACCCTAAACCCTAAACCCTTAAACCCTCAACCCCTAAACCCTAAACCCTAAACCCTAAAGCCTAAAACCTTTGTTCGGAATTTTAGGGTTTCTAGGATGCTCAGAGTCAGCACAGGGCTTAGGGTTTAGGGCCTAGGCCTGATGGCCTGACACGCCAGGATGAGCTCCTCGGCCCCACAGTCCCGTATACTCAACCCGATCAAGGTTTAGGGTTTAGGGTTTAGGGTTTAGGGTTGAGGGTTGAGGGTTGAGGGTTGAGGGTTGAGGGTTGAGGGTTGAGGGTTGAGGGTTGAGGGTTGAGGGGCCCAGTTGCTGAGTACCCTAGGCCCCAAAAAGGTTAATCTTTCGAATATGGTAGGGTTACATAATATATATATATATATAATATATATATATATATATAATAATAATATATATATATATATATATAATAGAAATATATATATATATAAGTAAACAAACAAAAAATCAATGAATGTATATATATATATATATATAGATACACCCAAAAAGGTTTAATGTTACCTACTCAGCTACTAAGGAGGGGGGAGTATGGCGGATAGGAGCTCATCCTGGTATAGCCCCATTCGGCCTACCAGCCGAACCAAAGAAACTGTGATAACCGAATGCGCGGATTGCATCATTACCTCTAGATTGACTATATACACCCAAAGGGCTTATGGTCCACTTACATGAACGGACATTTTCTTGTCTAGTTGTAGTTGTGTTTATCTGTTTTATTCTGTATATAGTCATAGCTGTGTATTTAATATGATCCCAACTCGTTCATGTGGGCCCCAAAGAAGGCGCCCGCCTGGCTCCAGCATCTTCCCACAAAGATCACAGGGGATCAAAGCATGATCGTAGGAGTGCTTGACGAACTCCGCCGAAGGGATCGCCTTCTGGCATACGTCGCAAAAAATCGAGGAGGCTCCGTGCTTCACCCGGTCGGAGATCGAACGGAACTTGACCTGGGGGAGGCTACGATATTGGACATACCTTCTTGGGGTCTTATTACCAAGGGAATCCCGTTATTTGGGGACTATCCTAGGGCCCCTGATTTCGCAAACCCCCCGCCTTGCGACCTTCTGAAGCCATGGGCTCCGCGGGTCTTGCCCGCGTTTTTGAGCTACTTGAGCTCGGCCGGCAATCCTCCTCCGAGTCCGAAACGGCTATCATGTCGACATTGCAGTTTCGCCCCCGCCTGGCGCGTCCTGAGGCTTTGAACCAAGTGGCCAAAATGGCTTGGGCAGGAGCGGCTGCTGCAGAGGATCGATGTTGACAAGTCTAGCGAGACAGCTCAGGACAGGCAGGAGCAGTAAACCCACCTAAACCATGCGGGGGTTTCCGAAGTTAGGGGGGGTTCTCTCTGGGAGTCCTCATTATAAGGGAATCCTACTATTTGGGGGTTTATTTTAGGGTTCCCTGTTTTCGTAAGCCCCCATGTCTGTGTATTGGAATGGTCCCCCTTATACTGACAGTCCTTAACACGGATGACCGTACCTATTAAGGACTGGTAGTCTAAGGGGGAACATCCCTAAACCCTAAACCCCAAATCCCAATACAGATGATGAAGTGCCACGAGACCGTAAATTTTGCATATCCCCGCCCTGGCAGGGCTGAAGCTCTTCGGGCGAGGGTTGAGGGCTCATAAAACCCCTGTGAGCCCACACATCCCGAAGCCCTTATGACGACCCTAAACCTTTGCTGGGCAGCCACAACTATTTCAGGACCACTGTCTCACCTAGGACCCAAGGATATGACACAGGCAACTGCACATCGGAAACGTCGAGCCTGCAAATACTAAACCCTAAACCCTAAACCCTAAACCCCAGACTGTTCAGAAGCGGGGGCCCAAGCTGCATGTCACATATGTAGCCTGAAACGCCCACGCCCTCAAAGACCCTCAACCCTGAGCCCTAATTAAACCCGAACTTAGGTTTTAAGGTTCAGAGTTTAGGGTTAGGGTTTAGGGTTTAGGGTTTAGGGTTTAGGGTTTAGGGCTTAGGGCTTAGGGCTTAGGGTTTAGGGTTTAGGGTTTAGGGTTTAGGGTTTAGGGCTTAGGGCTTAGGGCTTAGGGCTTAGGGCTCTGAAGCCCCTTAAGCCCCCAAGCCCTTAAACCCCTTAAACACTTAAACCCGTGAACCCTTAATTCTAACCCGCGAACCCTTAAGACCCACTCTTGACCTCTCAAGGACTTCCAGGAGGTCCAGGTACAGGGGGTTTAGGGGTCACAGGTTTCAAGTTTAAGTCGAGAGCCCAGGGTTTAGGGCTCAATGCCTTCAAGGCTCAAGGCCTTACTTGAAGGTTAGCTCATAAGTAGCCCAGGTTGAAGCGAGGAGATACTGGGGAAGGCCCTTTTTTAAGACCCTCTGGAAAAGATTCCTAAAACAAAAATCACTCTTAAACCCAATAAGGGGAAATATAAAACCTGTCCCAAGGGTTCGCCTAGGATAACTCTAGCGGCCCTACTTAGCAGCCACGTATCACTACGGATGAACCTCCCCACGCATGGGGTTTCGGGTAGAGGGATTCCCTTTTAGAGAAGCACAAACCTGTTGGCTTCTGAAAACCTGCAGCAACCTACAGAGAAACAAATTTAGGGTTTAGGGTTTAGGGTTTCGGGTTAAGAGGTTTCGGGTTAAGAGTCTATAGGTCTTTCAGGGGTTGAGGGACCTTGCCTTCAGCCCCTAACAACTCCTAAACGCGCCCAAAGTCAGACCGTAGTCCCTAAACCCTAAACCCCAAACCCTGAACCCTAAACCCTAAACCCCAAACCCTAGCCCTAAACCCTAAACCCTAAACCCCAAACCTGCCAGGGCCTCCACGATGCTTTGCAGGTCCTCCTGGAAGCCTGCTTCTGACTAAAGGGATGCTAGGGTTTAGGGTTTAGGGTTTAGGGTTTAGGGTTTAGGGTCTGCATGGACAGGACTAAAGTTTCGACCTACCAAGACCTGAGCATGTTGCGGAGTCGCGGAGTCGCTGAACAAGTGGATTGAACCTAGCCCGCGTAGTGGAGAAATTCATCCACCTAAACCCTAAACCCTAAACCCTAAACCCTAAACCCTAAACCCTAAACCCTAAACCCTAAACCCTAAACCTGGAGTCCTGGTGTGCTAGGAGTCTGAGGGGATGGGGGCTTGGCCTTCCCATGCTTGCCTGTGAGTGCTGGTGCCTCTTGGTCGCGGGTCGAACCTTCGTCCTACCTGAATAAACCGGTTTTGGGTTTTAGGGCTTAGGGTTTAGGCTTCAAGGGTTAAAGGCTCGAGGGGGAAAAAGGGGTTTTGGGGCTTAAATAATTTAGGGTTGAAGGTGTGAGGCCGCAGCAAGCAGATGCCTACACCATGGCCCCTTTTGAGGGGAGGGGTGGGATGTCTATCAACGGTTTAGGGCTTAAGGCTGAGGGTTTGGGATGTTTCGGGCCAGGGTTTAAGAAAAAATTGAGCCCGAGCATATGAACGCTCCAAGCCTTGGCAAAACCGGCGTAAGTCCATAGTCGCCGGTTCCCGCGCGTGGGCGGGGTCCTCCGCAACCACCTTGGGTTCGGAGCTTAGGTCTTCAGTTTTGGGGTTTGGGGTTGAGGGGCTTACACCCTAAACCCTACACCCTATACCCTGCACCCTAAACCCTAAACCCTAGCCCTAATCCCTAAACCCTAAACCCTGAGCCCTAAGCCCTAAACCCTAGCCCTAAACCCTAAACCCTAAGCCCTAAACCCGAAGCCCTCCACCCTGAACCCTGACCTTAGCCAAATGGTTGCAGTAGTGGATGAAGGGCTGCACCGACGGCGAGCGCACGGCGTTGAGCCAGGCATCCTCCGGGAGTAGCCCTAAACCCTAAACCCTCAACCCTATATAAACCCTAAATCCTAAACCCTAAACCCTAAACCCTAAACCCTGTTTGTGCACAATTTGGTTCAAGGCTTGGGGCTCCGAAAGGGTTTAGGGTTTAGGGTTGAAGATTTAGGGTTTAGGGTCCATTTACCCAAATCGCGTATACGCGGAACCAAAAGGCATTGGAAAGGAAGTACTCTAGAGCCCAACTTACTAGGCACATGATACTTTACGGGTAGGAAGCGAACGCCAGAATAGCTTTGAGCTAATTGCCATATTGCGCAGGTATCCCCCCTAAACCCTAAACCTTATAAACCCTAAACCCTAAACCCAGAACCCCTAAACCCTAATCCTGCAGATGCTTCCGATACCAAAGCTGGTCTGTGTAGCTCGAGACGAAATCGCTGTGTGCGCCCAGCGACTTGCTGCATATGCATCAGACCCTAAACCCTAAACCCTAAACCTAAACCCAAACCCCTAAACCCTAAACCCCAAACCCTAAACGCTAACCCTAAACCTATACCCTAAACCCTAAACCCTAAAACGTTTTAGCTCTAGCAGAAGCCCCCTCAACTCACCCGCTGGCCGCGTTGGCCCCGGAACCGCCCCAGCACGGACAACCCAGGAAGGTAGGAGAATGGGTTCCCCTACTACCCCCCCTCTATACTACCCCCCTAGGTTCCCCCTTTCTTGGGCTTAATTATCCCGAAATACCCTCGATTCTGGAGGAACCTAGGGGGGGTAGTATAGAGGCGGGTAGTAGGGGAACCCCTGACTGTGTGTGAGGCCTGTGCTCCCTAAACCCTAAATTCTACAAACCCTATAAACCCACTAACCCACTATAACCCTAGACCCTAAACCCACTGACCCAAAAAATCGTGTAAACCCTACAACCCTATGAACCCCGGATCTTGGAGAATTCCAAATGCAAGCGGGGGTCCTGCTGCGCTTTGAGGATGACCTGGTGCCAAGCTTTGGGCCAAGGTCTCAAGAGCTTTGGATCCAAGGTGTAGGGTTTAGGGTTTAGGGCTAATTCCCGAAGTATCCCTAAACCCTAAACCCTAAACCCTAAACCCTAGACCCTAAACCCTAAACCCTAAACCCTAAACCCTAAACCCTAAACCCTAAACCCACGGTGTGGGTCCCCTATATTATATAACCCGTAGATACGATTATATACGTTAGACAAGTTAAGGGCCCATACTTCGGATCCCTTGGAGTCCCTTTAGACAATGGTAACGGACCATTTGCCCGTGGTTCCAACCTTAGACAAGAGCTTTGGACTCAAAGTTTAGGGTTTAGGGTTTAGGGTTTAGGGTTTAGGGTTTAGGCGAATAAGTCTTACTTACCTAAGTCCATGAAAAGAAAGGTCCTTATATTATGCGGTTTCGGGCTATTTGTGTACATACTTTGGAGGAAGAATGCGTAGCAAGTGCCCAACAAAAACCAAAGGAAAAACCGAAACCCTAAGCCTCAAACCCTTAGCCCTGAGACCTAAACCCTAAGCCCTAAACCCTAAACCCCAAACCCTAAACACTAAACCCTAAACCCCAAAGCCCCAAAACTGCAGAGCAGGTGCTTGCATAGCTTCCCGGGCTGCTTCCCGCGCCACCTCCGGAGGGTGCTTTAGTTAAACCCTAAACCCTAAACCCTAAACCCTAAACCCTAACCCCTGCCCCCCAAACCCTATAAACCCTATACTGTAAACCCTCTAAACCCTCTAAACCCTCTAAACCCTCTAAACCCTTCTAAACCCTCTAAACCCTCTAAACCCTCTAAACCCTAAGCCCTAAGCCCAAGACTTCGCGCGCCGGCTTAGAGAAGCTTCCACAAGGCATGATGTGGTCATTGCGCAATGCATGGAGGGGTTTCCTGCAATAGGGGTACCTCTTTTTACCCGCCAAGATGTAGAATCCAAAAAAGGGAGGGTACCCCTGATTTCGGAAACCCCCATGTGGCCTAGCGTGACTGAATCTCCTTCTTGGGCGCGGCGAGTTTGATTTCCATCGGCCCTAAACCCTAAATCCTAAACCCTAAACCTTAAACCCCATAAATCCTAAATCCTAAATCCCAAACCCTAAACCCTACCTCCTAAGCCATCTCCGAAACCCTAAACCCTAACCCTAAATCCTTAACCTTAAACACTCAAAAACCAAAACAACAAAACCCAATCCCACACGCCCATTCCTGGTCAACCACGTCCTTGCGGCCACGGCCATGCGCCGCTGCACTTGCAGGCAGTTCTAACTCAAGTTTCGTGAATCAGGGTATAGCTATTGGGTTCAGGGTTTAGAGGTGAGGGGTTGGGGGTTTGCGGTTTTCGGTTTAGGAGTTCAGGGCGCTTATAACCCCGGATTTAGCCAACTACACATGAACCTTCAAGTAGGGGACCTGCTCAGCGCCCAACCCACTATTGGCGCTGAATCTCACACAGGATTGCCCCAAGTGACCTCCTCGTGATGGGCCGCCTCGGCCAAGTCATCCTGGGCCTCGCCTTGGTATAGGGTTTAGGGAGTTTATAGGGTGTACTGCATGGAGAGCTTGGTAGGTTCCCAAAATTAGAGTCAGTGACTTTCTAGGCAACTTTTGGAAGGAGGGCCACTATTTGGGGTAGCCGAAAGAATTTTAGCTCTTTTGGAATGTATGCGGCGCGACGCGGCTTCCACGCAGCCCATTGGGCTTGGCAAGCTCCCGAGCAAAAAATCAGCAACTCTTGAGACAGGTCCCCCACCATGTGGCCTGAGGCAGTTTTGTCACGCTCGCGGTGGGTTGAGGTAGTTTGTCACCCTGAAGCCAAACCACGCAACGCTTGAGACAACTCCCTGCCATGTGGGCTGAGGTGATTTGTCACGCTCCCCGGAGAAAGAAACAGCACCGCAACTCTTGAGACAACGCCCCCGCCAACGTCCCCCGGGCAACTATAGTAACCGCAATTCTTGAGATGGCTCCCCAGCTCAGATGAGCCTTCAAGAAAAATCCTATGATGAAAACTGTCTCTCGCTACGATTGCATAAACCTCACAATCGCGCAGGGATTTATTTTGCGCGGCACGCCTTCCACAAATTGCACCTCCAACCGTGAGAGATCATGCGGGCACAGATGCCCGAAAGACGAGTTTTTTCGCATTGCCCAGACATCCAAATGTGAATACTAGCATGCCCATGCCTGAGCAAGAGAGCGGTTTCGTTCAAAGCACGCGTATTCTTCGAGAACACGGACAGTAAAAGCAGACGCAAAAAGGGACTTGCCGCGCCAACACAAACCTGCGCTACCATTCGCACTCCGTTTAGGATTTGCCCCCCCATCCCGGAAGTATAGGTTACGAGGTCCCTGCGAGAGTCGCACAGCTTGGAGGTGCCGGCGGCCTTCACCACATCACGAAGAAGGCAGGAGGCACGCCTGCGGTCCACATCGGAGTTTAACAGCTCCACTCCACTACGATGGCCAGCATTCCGGCTTCTTGACTGGAATCTTCTTGCAAAATGTGTCGCAGCTATCCAAACTGCTCAAGTCGACAAAGGAAGTCACATGGCCGGAGAAAGCGCCATCTTGGATTCTGCGTCGAATGGCTTGTGAAGCGCGGGCCTCCGCCGCGGGGTCGTGCGCCAGCGGCGTCGCAGGCTAGCAGCGAGCCTGCAAAAGCCAGCTTTCCCAAAGAGGTTCTGGAAAAAAGCGCCGTCTGCGAGCAGCAACGGAACCCTGAACCTTAGCAAGCGCCGTAGCCTGGGAACAATTAAGTCGTCTGACATCTCAGAGCGGCAGAAACTTGCCTGGCAGGTGGTCGGAGAAGACGTCCCGAAGGCCTGACAACATGACATGACACGCAATACACCCAAACATGAAGTCAGAAAACGACTGCAAGTCTCAGCGCGCGAACATGAACATGATCCGTGAGGAGGTCAGCCTTGAGAAGGGTTACAACGGGCCCCGGAAAGCGAACGAAAAAAACCCAAAACCCCCCAGGCAGGTCTTGTTTCGTGGACAATTCTCGTGTTGAATCCGGCGAAGCCGGACCCTGGGTGCTCCAAAAGACTTTGGATGTAAGGCCAGGCGCTCCGCACTTCCGCCCGGGGATGGCTCCCGAAGGTGCCTGGACACACATCCCTGCAGCGGCACCACCGAAGAGCACTCCAGTCAGAACTCTTTCTGTGAGGGAAAAGGCTGCGGGAAAATTTTCGCATGTCCATCTTGCGTAGCTCACCCATTCAGCTTCATGCTGGTGTCATTCCAGACGTTGTGACTTTTTTGATGGGCCCCGCGATTCTCCCTCCCGAGTCTCAGGGTGCCCCTATCGGACCTCGGATTTGGCGATTCAGGACTTGCGCTGTACCCCCATCTGTCCTCAGCGCTGGAAGAGGCTGAGGAGGCACCAACAGTCGCCCACGTCGGCCCTGAGGATCTCCCAGTAGGGTGGAGTGCCAGATTTAGGCTTTTTTTGGGGGAAGGGGGTGGAAAGCTGAGTGTTTTTAGGGTTAGGGTTTTGGGGCGAGGCAGAAAAGTATGGTTAACAGATTTAGGTTTTTTTCGGGGGGGAAGAGAATCACAAGATTGGCTAAAGACTTCACGACAAGCCCCTGAGACTGCCGGGAAACTTCTGAAAAAACAGAAAATGGCAAGAGAGGAACCCGGTACAGTAAGGCTCAGTAAGGGGCCCTTCGATGCTTCCTTGGACCAGCCTCGGTCCATGAGCAACTCAACAGCGACTGGCATTGAATCGCGGCAATCTTACAGCGAAGCCCTCTGCCATGCAGCGTCACGATGTTCATGTGCTGCAGGCGGCGGAGAACCTTCCGTACATGTCAAAGACTTCTTACTTCTGGTATCTCGAGCGTCACCACTCGCAGCCACCAGCTCGTTTTGAGTTGAGAGGTGTTCGCGGAACACCTGTCCGCAACATGGCGAACGCTGACAGTGACGTGGCCCACTTGCAGCCTAAACCCTAAACCCTAAACCCTAGATTCACACCTTGATGGCCACCGGGACGCGGTCCTCTGTCCGTCTGTGATCAGTAGAGGTCAGCAGCGCTCCAGAAGTATAATGGAGCAGCCTACACTTGTATGATGCCGTTAAAGGCTTCTGTTGGGAACTGCATAAAGTAATTTGAATGGGGAAAAAACATTCGAAAACGATAGGAGTGAAAGTGAGAAAAACATAGGAACACAAAAACCGATGAAGAATTTGACGTCCTTTTTTACGGGACAACACTCAGAAAATACTGAGTTCGAATTAGTGCTCTTGAGCCAAGATGGCAAGAGTTTTTCGGATTTAGGGCTTCGGGTTTAGGGTTCGTCTTTTTGCCCCCGGCGGCTTGTGGGTCGCTACGGATGCCTATACATAGGGGTGCCCTAAACCCTAAACCCTAAACCCTAAACCCTAAACCCTAAACCCTAAACCCTAAGCTAAGGGTTCCTGCAGTTTAATAGTAGTACCGGATTTAAGGAGGCCACAACTATCATCGGGCTTAACAGGGCTTTATGGTTTAGGGTTTAGGGTTTTGGGTCTGAAATTGAAAAACACCGTTGATGTCGTCCCTCAAGCACTGCAGCAAGTGGCGTGCCGCCCGGGCGGCGCGGACGTTGGCCTGCAAGCCATGGTGCAGAAAAGCTGTCTTCGTAGTTTTGCATCCCGAGACACCCCAAACCCTACCAAACCCTAAGCTCCAAACTAAACGACCGCAAACCCTCAACCCCATTTCAAGCGCGCGTCTTGCTGCGCCCCCTATAGGATGATTCGTGTGACAAGAGCTGAATCCATCTTAAAAACACCCCTAAACCCTAAACCCTGTTCCCTAACCCTAAACCCTAAATCCTAAACCCTTTCCACACCCATTCAGACTTAAGAGAGCGCCAAGGCGAGGGCCTCAAGCTAGCTGAACTCTATGTTCCGGTACGAAGACGGAAACCTCGTGCTTCCCACGTGGAACGTGTGTTGACACGTAGGACGTACTGGTAGGAGTCTGTAAAACATACACATCTGCTGGAACACAGCTCCTCAAATGACCTCTAAACCCTAAACCCTAAACCCTAAACCCTAAACCCTAAACCCTAAACCCTAAACCCTAAACCTCTTAAAATGAGGCCTTTGGGGTCCAAAAACCTTAAAGTAAGAGTCCCCTGGAGCCTTAAGGAGAGTTTTGCGGGCACTATGGTTTTCTCTTCGCATGTCGAGCACGTCCTGAGGTAGCTGCTCTTCAACCTATGAGTCTTGGGGTGTTTAGGGCTCAAAACTTAGGGCTTGGGTTTATAACCCTAAACCCTAAACCCTACACCCAAAGCTCGCGAGCCTCGACGGCCCTCGTGGCCCAGTCGTGCGGCGAGGCCTCTTCCGCGAAGGAGTGGGGTTTAGGGTTTAGGGTTTAGGGTTTGGGGTTTAGGGTTTAGGGTTTAGGGTTTGGGGTTTAGGGTTTAGGGCTTCGGGGGGTTTGGGGTTTAGGGTTTCGGGTTTAGGGTTTAGGGCTTCGGGGGGGGTCCAAAGAGCCCAATACCCCTCAAAGAAGGAATATATCTTATTCATCATATTAAGGATCCCAAAGTGCTTTAGGGTTTAGGGTTTAGGGTTTAGGGTTTGGGGCTTAGGGATTGGGGGGTTTAGTTCGGGGGTCTTTTTTTGGATTGTCAGAGCCTAAACCCTCCTCATGGTCTTGAGGGGGGGATTGCTGATTTAGGCCTCAGGGTTGAGAGCTCAGGGTTAAGGATTTGTGCAGGCGTGTAGGGGGGGGGGGGGGGGGGTGCTTTTATCGGGGGCATTTGGGGCTTTGGAATGTAGGGCTGCGGGTTTATGGCAGGGTCTGGGATATCATTCGGAACTCCACTACAGCACACTATGTTTTTTTTCCGGAGCTATCCTACTTAATCCTAATTGCACCCGAAACCGCAAATCCTAAAGCCACTGCTGAGCACTCAAACAATAGTACAGCCTACAACAAAGCGCACCTGGTTCAGGGTTTAGAGTTTGGGGTCTAGGGTTTAGGGTGCGAATCCTAAATGTGGACCCTGTAGCAATCAGATGTTCTGCTCAAGACCCCTTCCTACAACAATATGCGGGGTGCCCAGTATATAAGGGCCCGTAACATGGACAAATCCCTCTAAGCCCTATATGTCATCTACAGGTTGTATTTTTGTTAATAAGGGTTTAGGGGTATATGAGGGTTCTTCCCTGGAGCATAGAGGGGACTAAACCCTGGGAAACCCTAAAGCCCTAAACTCTCAAGCCCTAAAGCCGTATACCCTAAACCCTGAAGCCCTAAAGCCCTACACCCTGAGCCCTAATGCCCCGCAACAAGGGGACGGCAGCCTTTTTGAAGTCCCAGATAGGCTTCGGCGGCACGCCATCCCAATCTTGGCATGCGCGATCGGCCGGCAGGGCAAGGAGAAGGGCTGGGGGCAGGATCCCTAATTACCCTAGACACCCGTAAACCCTAACCGCTATAACACCCCAAACCCCACAGGGTTTAGGGCGTAGGGTTGAGGGAGAACCCCTTGTACCAGAAACCCTCGCGCCCTTCAACCCCGGCAACCTTGAACCCTGGACTCGAAACCGGTGGAGCACAGGACAGGATTTTTGGGGTTTAGGGCAATCCTAAACCCTAAACCCTAAACCCTAAGCCCTAAACCCTAAACCCTAAACCTCCGAAACCGTTGTTCAAGCCGCGGAACCCAGGTTTCGGGTGTTGTCCTTCGCCACAACGCTCGGCGGTATCTTGCTGGCCATGTCCTGCCCAGTAAGGCACCCACAATGAGGGTTTAGGGTTTAGGGTTTAGGGTTTAGGGTTTAGGGTCCTAGAGAGGCCAATCATGAACTAGCAATTCAACTAGAACCCGGGAGTGACCTAGGAAAAAAAAGGGTGCCCTCTTGGGTTCTAAGGGGATTACAAGGGAACCCCAACCCTAAAAAAATGAAAAACAAAAAGGCACTAAACCCTAAGCCCTAAGCCCTGAACCCTGAACCCTGAACCCTAAACCCTAAACCCTAAACCCTAAACCCTAAACCCTAAACCCTAAACCCTACACCTGGCCAGACTCCCGGTCCTAGTCAAAGTGCATGCAACTGCAGTCATGGCTCAGAAATCAGAGAACGGAGCCTGACTAGGTAACCTTAATCCATACATATTGGGATGTTCCAAAACCCTAACCCCGAAACCCAAACCCTAAACCCTAAACCCTAACCCCTCCCTTAAGAACCCCTTAAACGTGAGGGCTGCAGGTCTTTGAGAGCAGTTCATCTTCAGAGGCCCTAAACCCGAAACCCTAAACCTTAAACCCTAAACCCAAAACCCTAAACCCTCATAAACGGCCCTCCACATCCGAGAGTCGCACCGACATCTGATCCATGGCCGAGTGCCACTTTCCTTTGTACTTCTGGTACTGGTCGTAGGCTTCCTGTTGTAGAGGAGTGGCTCAGGGTTTAGGGTTTAGGGTTTAGGGTTTGGGGTTGAGGGTTTGGGGTTTAGGGTTTAGGGTTTGGGGTTTGGGGTTTGGGGTTGGTGCTGGGAAGGGGGGGAAAGAGCATAGGAGCTCGCACATCAAAAAAGCCCATAACATCGAACATGCATGCACCCTAATGGGTTCAAGGCAACCTCTGCGTCCTCGACATGGTTAAGCGAGCACCGCGTGCCCTAAACCCGAAACCCGAAACCCTAAACCCTAAACCCTACAACTCTAACCCTAAACCCTAAACCCTAAACTAAACGCTAAACCCTAAACCCTAAACCTTATACGGTTTTGTGCAGCCCAGAGCCACGAAAAGAGCGAAAGCCCTGACAAGTTGAGATTGAAGGCTTTGGGGTGTAGGGCTTCTAGGGGTCGAGGATTGAACCCTAAACCCTAAACGCTAAACCCTAAACCCTAAACCCCAAACCCTAACTCCCAAACCCTAAACCCTAAACCGTCGAGGGTTTAGGGTTTCATCCTCTACTACAGAAACCGCAAAGGGGTCTCAAACGAAATCATGGCCTTCGCCTTCTTGGCAAACTTGAAGGCTTTCGGCGCTAAGGTCTGGGCTTGGGGTTTGGGGGTTTGGGGGTTTGGGCTTGGGACTTTTTTGGGTTTAGGGTTTAGGGTTTAGGCGGTTTAGGGTTTAGGGTTTAGTCGGTTTAGTCGGTTTAGGGTTAAGGGTTAAGGGTTAAGGGTTTAGGGTTTGGGGTTTGGGGTTTGGGGTTTGGGGTTCAGGGTTTAGGGTTTGGGGTTTATAGGGTTTAGGGATTATAGGGTTGAAGGTTTTCGGGTTTAGGGTTTAGGGCACGTGCCTGCTCGTTTGCTTGCTATGGCCGTACGATAGCAGAATTTCCCAAGATCGGGAGGTCGCGAGTGAGAGAATTCCTAGGTAGGGCACCTTGTATAAGGCACTATAGGGTTAGGACTGCAGAAAGGGCTTGTGGCTTGACAGGGCTCAGGGTTAAGGGTTAAGCACTCCTGGGGAATCAATCCACCGCACGCGCCGCATCCCAAAGCCTACTTCAAGGTTCATGCCTAATAGGAAGCAGTGCTGTGAGTACCCTCCCCCCCAAAAAAAAACACAACAAATAAAGTAGCCAGCAACAACTGTGGTTGCCCCACTTCACGCACCACTTTAGACGATGTACCTATGAACCTCCCAACCAAAAAGAATTCCAACAAACCTGTGGACAATGATGCCTAGAACCCCATTTGCATTCCCCTAAAACCCTAAGACTCACCATATTGTCACACTATCCCCGACTAATCCCTAAACCCTCAAACCTGAAAGCGTAGGGTTCAGGGTTTAGGGTTTAGGGTTTAGGGTTCAGGGTTTAGGGTTGAGGGATTCATCCCTAAACCCCTAGGCACGAGAACTCCGAGGTGCCATGAGGCCGAATCCGAGGGAAAACCTGTGCTGAGCAGATACGGTGTCATTTGGGGGGGTGCTTACGAAAATAGGGGACCCTGAACCCATTTATTCCCTTAGAATAGGGACCCCTATATAAGGTACCCCGAATTTCGGAAACCCCCATTGAGGGTGTAGGGCCAGGGTGTAGGGCCCTCCAGGGTACGCTTCAAAATTTTAAGGCTTTGGGGTCCAGGATGTTCCCCCTTATGCTAACAGTCCGTAGTAGGGATGATTGATACCCCCTATCATCATCCCTACTGAGGACTGTTCGTATAAGGGGGAACATTCCAACTTTGGGGTTTAGGGAGGGCTTGGAAGGGTTTAGGGTTTAGGGTTTAGGGTTTAGGCTTTCGGGTTTAGGGTCTAGGATTTAGGGTTTAGGGTTGAGGGTTTAGGGTTTAGGCTTCTCAAAGCGTTGCTTGGCTTTGTTTAGGGTTTAGGGTTTAGGTTTAGGGTTTAGGGTTGAGGGTTGAGGGTTGGGGTTTAGGGTTTAGGGTTTAGGTTTTAGGGACTTTTTTTGGTCTTAGGGTTTACGGCGTTTCCGTCGCTGCCATGGTGGATGCCTGAGTCCGGAAACCCTGAAACCGACATAGGCCACAGAATACTAAACCCTAAACCCTAAACCCTAAACCCTACAAACGCCGCTGCCTCAAGCCGAACCGGTAGAGTCCCTGAAGACCCCACATGCTAAACACAAAGAAGAATAATCCTCAGATTGCCCTTCTCAGGAGAACTTTTTGTTTGGGGTTACAAAAAAGAAGAATAATCCTCATATTGCCCCTTATGAGGAAACTTTTTTCTGGGGTGGTTCTTAAGCCAATTATCGTAGAAATCTCCGCGTGCTCCCAAGCGGCACATTGCCCAACGCGCCCGCCGTGCTTCCCACGGCGCCGATGGCACCGCCAGCGGCCCCCAGCACCATGGCGGAGGCGAAAGATCACCAAAGCCAAAAACCCTAAGTCCTAAACCCACAGGCGGGGCGGGGGGGCCGGCCAGAGGCGCTTTGAACGTCGTGGAGGCCCTTTTGAGGGTCAGGGTCATTGGTGCTGTAGTAGACTGGGATCGGCAAAAACTCGACAAATCTGTTCAGGAGTTTAAGGCTTAGGGTTGACGGCTGAGGGGGTTCGGGAATTTCCTGCTCGAGTACATGCAAGTAGCAGGGTTTCGGGCTTTCCTTTGGGGGGATGGGGGCTTGGGGAACCCTAAAACCTAGGGTTGAGGGTAACCCCTAAACCCTAAACCCTAAACCTAAACCCTAAACCCTGAATAGGATTTGAGGTTCAGGTAAACCCTGGTCTTCGAAGCCGGATGCCAACATGCACAGGAGAGGCGATGGCATCACCGCGGTTATCTCCCTGCCCTGGGATTATCCCTGCCTCTCCCCCCCTTCGGTTTAGGTTTTAGGGTTTAGGGTTTAGGGTTTCGGGTTTAGGGTTTGGGGTTTAGGGTTTAAGGTTGGGGTTCAGAGTTCCCCTCGCCCGAAACAAAGTCCTAAACCCTAAGACCACCCCCAACCCCCCACCCCCAACCCCCCACCCCCCCTTCAATCTGTACCCCCAGGATCGAAGGAGGGGTCGGCTTCAACGCACCTAAAACCCCGAACCCCAAACCCTAAACTCTGAACCTTGAACCTAGTTTGTAAACACGAGTATCATAAACAAGGTGCCCTGCACCCTAAACCCCAAACCCGAAACCCTAAACCAATCCTAAACCCGAAACCCTAAACCCTAAACCCCAAACCCGAAACCCTAAACCAATCCTAAACCCGAAACCCTAAACCCTAAAGCCTAAACCCGAAACCCGAAACCCTTAACCCTCAAACCGAAGCCCTAAACTTCAGCCCTGGGCTCTTGGTGCAGGGGGCTTCGGGCTTCATGTGTTTGGAATTCAGAGTTTCAGGGTCCCCCAAACTCCCTACATTACCCCAAGGTCCTGTTAGAAGGGTTCCCTCCTTTGGTACCTTGATTCTGGCTAGGGTCACAACCCGGACAACTATTGCCATCGCTGCTTCTAACCCTACTCGGACTAGCTGAGCTACACTAAGCCCTAAAACCCCAAGCCCCTGTGCCCGGAACCTCTTTCTCAACCTTGAAGCCACAAGCCCTGAACCCAAAACCCAAAACCCTGAACCCCCCCCCCCCCCCCTTCCGAGAAGGAAGGACGCTGGGTTCCTGGCGGGTAGATGTCCGTGAGCTTCGTTCCGATCACCACCAAGATGTTCAAGGGGACCTGCACTGTAGGTTTAGGGTTTAGGGTTTAGGGTTTAGGGTTTGGGGTTTGGGGTTTGGGGTTTGGGGTTTGGGGTTTAGGGTTTAGGGTTTGCGGTTTGGGGTTTGGGATTTAGGGTTTAGGGTCTAGGGCTTCAAGGGGACCTCCTATCTAGGTCTAGGGCTCCAAGGGGACCTCCTATCTCGGTCTCGGCCTTCATGGGGACCTCCTCTCTAGGTTTACGGCTTCAAGGGGACCTTCTCTGTAGGTTGAGTGCTTGGAATTTAGGATCCATGTGTTGATGGGTTTATGTTCAAGGGGACCTCCTAGCTAGATTTAGGGCATTATAGTTTTTAGGATCTGTGGTTTATGGGCTTTGTGATATTTTGCAGGCACTGTAGGGTTCAGAGGTTTTATGGGGTTTTCGGGCTTCATCGGCTTTGTAGGGTCTAAGGGTTTATAGCTTTGCGGGGTCTCGCTAAGGATTGAAGTCGAAAAAAAGACTGTTGTTCTAGATGGGACCTCATGGACCAACGTAAAAACCCTAAAGCCCCAAACCCAAGAAGCCGTAAGCTCTCCATGTTGGGATGTTCCTCCTTATACGAACAGTCCTTAATAGGGACTATGGTACCCCCATTATCACCCCTATATGCAGGACTGTTAGTAGTTTTTACTGGGCAACATCCCAACCCTGAAAGCCCTAATAAATTAACCAAACCTGAAATTACTATAGAGTCGCGTCGGACTTGCATGTTATAGTATAATCTTCTATGTTGGGTGACAAGCCTCATATCTTTATCATATCTTCAAGCTAAATTATGTAAACTGACGCCATACTTGTGCACCAAATACATAATTAACGGCCACTTGGCTGCCAAGCCTCGAAAAAGTTAGCAGCAACTTAGCCAGTTAACATATGTTGTGTTTTTTGTGGGTTTTTCTTTATAGGCAGGAAATGCAGTAGATGTTTCTTACAAATCGTGTATCTACACTTTTGTCTTTTCTTGTAATTCTTGTAAGAACTCTATAAACTTCTACATGCTGAATGCCAGATCACATCCGCTTTTGTCCCTTTATCGCAGGCACATCAGGCTTGTGTTCTCCTTGTAGTTTTTGAGCCATGTCCAGCAAATTTCGAACGCTTTCTGGATGTCCGCGCGGTGTCCGCGGATGTCCGCGAATGTCCGCGCCGAAAACGCGACGTTTTCGCATGTGTCCGCGCGTGTCCGCGCTACGTCCGGTTTCTAGTGAAGTGACGAAAAACATCATGTCCGCGCATGTCCGCGTCTGCGTTTCCGAAGCTTCTGTTGTACTTTCCGTGTCCGCGCGTGTCCGCGCACGCTGTGCACGTGCAGTCGCTTGGTTTCGCCTGTGTCCGCGGCGTCTCGCACCGTTGGCGTCCAGTTTGCTTGATTTGGCTATGGGCCGGATCTTGGCACGCTTGCTTGCTTTGGCCCTGTCACTGGCCCTCTCCTTTCTCTGCGCTGCGACTGTTTTCTCTCAAAAGCAGTGCCCGCCTCCTGCTCACAAGTCTCTCACCGGGACATCTTGATAACTTGAACCAAGACAATGGTGCAGAACACAAGTCAGAATCACATGTGCACAAAACCCATGAACAAAACCTAGCGAGAACTTGTGCTAGTTAAAAACAACTTACAAGCGCCTGCTAAGTTCAGACGATAACTTGTTTTTAACTTGTTGCTAAGTTCCTAAGGGGAAAGCGTCCCTATAGTAAACCCTAAACACACATGTCGTAGCCCTGTAAAAACCGCATTTCCATGAAACAAACCGGGCTAGAGTGGCTCGGAAGATGTTCATCACGCTGCCCTGGATGGCGTCGGGGATCACCTGCATTCCAGGAGGGGCCGCAAGACGAAGCTTTTGCCGGGGATGAGCCCGTAAGCCCTACAACCCAAAACCCTGAACCCTATAACCCTAAACCCTACCCCTAAACCCTAAATCCTAACCCCTAAACCCCTAAACCCTAAACCTGAAGCCCTAGGCCCTTAGAGCTCCACAACTCCAGCATGAAGGCCCTCAGCCCTTAACAAAAGCCCTCGGCCCTAGACCTCAGAACCCATGCACCTACACCTTAACCCTCTTGCCCCTGAGGCCCTCAGCCCTCAACCCAATATAGGTCAGGGATTTGAAAAAAAAGGCACCCTCACCTCTGCAGAACCCGATGCACCAACATAGATTAAGGCATAGTCAATAAAGGTACCCTCAACAACTCCGCCTGAACCCTAAGTACATGTACCCTACCCCCTAGAACCTAAACCCCTACATCGTTGAAGGAAAAACCATTAAGTTTAAGGTATATCGCGAAACCACTCTACCGTAAACCCCCGATCAGTTGAGGGTATGTGCAAAAAATCAGGGTGGTCATGCTGAAGCCCTAAACCCTAAGCCCTAGGCCCTAAGCTTTAAGCTCTAAGCCCTAAGCCCTAAACCCTAAACCCCAAAACCCTAAACCCCAAAACCCCAGACCCTACGTGCTTGGCAAACAGAGCCCTGCCTTCGATCGAAGCAGCCCGAGGCATGGGAAGAAGACCCCGACGCAGGTCCTTGGCCGGGCTTGGGTTGCTTTGCTTAGGGTTTAGGGTTTAGGGTTTAGGGTTTAGGGTTTAGGGTTTAGGGTTTAGGGTTTAGGGTTTAGGGTTTAGGGTTTAGGGTTTAGGGTTTAGGGTTTAGGGTTTAGGGTTTAGGGTTTAGGGTTTAGGGTTTAGGGTTTAGAGGGTTGGGTTTAGGGTTGAGGGTTGAGGGTTGAGGGTTGAGGGTTGAGGGTTGAGGGTTGAGGGTTGAGGGTTGAGGGTTGAGGGTTGAGGGTTGAGGGTTTAGGCTTAGGGCTTAGGGCTTAGGGTTTAGGGTTTAGAGTCTAGGTTTTCGGGGATGGGGGGCTGAAGGTTTAGGATCTTTGCGGGGACTTTTGCGGGCCTTTTGGGGCTGTTTAGGTTTAATGTTGGGTGGCTGGGATGTTGGGGTCAACCAACTATGGGCTGCAAGGCATGTGGGCATAAGTTTGCGAAGTTCGCGCGTGGCCTTAGGGATGTGGGGGGTCATTTGGGGCCCTAAACCCTAAACCGAAACTCTAAACCCCAGACCCGAAACCCTACCCCCCCTTAACTCTAAAACACTCAAACCTGAAGGTGCAGTCAAGTATCTCGAAGACGATGAAGCTAAGCAGCACCGGAATCAAACTCGCCGAGACGACGGGCACAGCCAGCGCTAATGCCTGGCAAGAGGCAGGGGAGGAAAGGGTTTAGGGTTTAGGGTTTAGGGTTTAGGGTTTCGGGTTTCGGGTTTCGGGTTTCGGGTTTCGGGTTTCGGGTTTCGGGTTTCGGGGAATTGCCAAAATATGAAAATATCCCGAGGGCGCCTGGCAAGGTTTGGACTGTATGACATCACCCTTGAAAGGCATGGACATGGTTCCATACTGTTTTCAGAAGTACCCTAAACCCTAAACCCTAAACCCTGGTAGCTAAGGCCTGAGTCCAAGTATGGTGTCCTGCCCCTCTCCCTCCCCAAAGCCCCCGGGGTGAAAAAAACGTAAAAAGAAAAAAAGCGTAAACAAGCCTACAAAAGAGTACGAGCAGCGAACATCCAGACAGCCCTGTAATTGTCAGTGCACCATGGATTTTGGATCGAGATCCGCAAGAGCGTCTTGGAACATTTCGAACGTATACAGACCAGCTCACCTGGGCGCTGAACGGGCTG